TTACAAGACGAAGGAACTGAACACGGGTAGTTTTTTGGTACAAAAATAATTTTTAAATAAAATCTTTTCTCTAATAAAATAGAAAATAATAAAAGGGATAAACAGTGAATCCATATATGTAAGAGTGATACAAAAATACCGATTACGCATATTAAAAATGACAATCTCGTGAAAAAAGTAAACTTTGAGGAATAGCTAGTGTAATGTGTGTAAAGCTTGGTCTACACTACGTTTTACCTGTCGGTCTTAAAACGTATCAAGCAAAAGACGTTAAACACCAATTTGAACTTTGATTTGAATTTCTTCAAAGTATACTCATTTCAAGACGAGTTTTTTTTTGTTAAAATTTATATGGTAATCGGCAAATTGTACAATCTGGTTATTTTCTATAGAGAGCTGATCAATACGTTTATTATATATATCTAGTTATTATCTCATTCACTCATAACACATTTAACAGGCTTACCTAAGGGTGTCCTTTCAAAAGAATATTACTAATAATTTCCTTTTTCAATTCAGTTCTTTCAAATAAAACACCCAGTTAATTTCTTATATTTTTTACAATCACAGGGAGTACTATCAGTTAACATTAAAGTATATTATATAACAAAGAGTTATGAGAATAAAAATCTGTACAAGTTTCACAAATGTATATTTATATTTATCCTACTGCCAACTTAAAAAAGTCAATATTGGAGCTCGCATGGCAGGGCGGCTGTTTTTCTGAATTGACATGTGTCGATATGACACTGAATGCGATTTTTATAAATCTTCAGTTTCTGATCAAAAAAGAAATGTATATTTTAAAGTGTAGCTATATTGGATGCGTCTGAAAGGTGGCTCACCCCTATAACTTTTTTATTTTTTTCAGATAAAAAAACGAGATTTGTTATGATAGTATATGACATAAATTAGAATTGATTGACGTATTCAATTGTTTTTAATCACGGGAAATTACTACAACTTTTGATTTTTAAATGGCACCCTCGGTACTTTATTACTTTGTTCGATAGAGAATGACATTCTGAATAGAATGACATATCGTATGACAACTTTTGACACTCTCGCTTAATAAAAAATTGTATTTTAAAATTCAATCTAGAGTGCCATGGCTGTGTTAAAAACACTAATTCTTAATCAAGGAGCCTTGGAAAAATAGATTTGATCGTCTAATGTTTTTAGTGTCTTGTCCTGGGCAGTTAGAAAATGCTCAAATCGTATTTTTAATCATATTTTAATTTTTTCAAATGGAACGAGGGTGGCTCATTAGCATATTTGGAAAAAGCATTTTTTTACAAATAATTTGATACCACATACTTGGTATTTTGAGTCAAATTTTCGTTACGAATCGCAAATTATAATTTCAAATAAACCATATGCGAAAATGTCAAAAGTTGACATATGATATGTCATTCTATTCAGAGTGTTATTTTCTATTGAATAAAGTAAAAAAATACCGAGGGTGCTATGTAAAAATCAAAAGTTGTAGTCATTTCCGGTGAAACAAGAAGCGACCGAAAACAATTGAATGCATCAAAACTAATTTATGTCCTATACTACTAGTATCACATACCAAGTCTCGTTTTTTTAACTGAAAAAATAAAAAAGTTATTACAGGGGTGAGCCACTTTTGAGACGCATCCGGTATAGTTTAATTTTTTGAATTGAAAGCAAACTAATCGATGTGGAAGTTTAATTTTAATCTTTGGATAATTTTGTAAATTGTCGTTATTAAATATGCAACCAACAAAACGCTAAATCCTAACCAAATTGATTTAGAAACTCGACTTAAGAGAAGAGTTAAATAAAGTTTGTACAGGGCGTCCCATTTTCGTGTTTCATGGGATTTCTCGTTTATGAGTAGACACAAAGATGCGGCTTTCACATCACTATGCCCCTTTTTTTACGTAACTAAAAATTCTACACACAGATTTTTCCTAGACCTCTTTTTAGTTCCTGAAATACAGGGCGAATTTTAAAATTATGCATTTTTGTATCTTGCTTATCTTATAACTTATCGAAAAGGGGATAACTGAGTTTTTCACGTAGCGTAACTAGTTTTTTGAATTTATATATATTTAATGATTAAAAGAAGTATACATTACATAATTTTAATGTATACTTCTTTTAATCAACTAGTGATTAAATGTTTTATGAACATCTTTTAAAATTATAATTATGTACCTTTAAAAAATTTCGTTATAGCCGAAATAGCCCAAATTATGCCCTACTAGCAAAACCGGTGATTAAAACTATGCTCGCTACCGTAGTTGAACTCATTTAAAAAGTTTTTTTAACTGGAATAATAAATTATAATACAAGTTAGACCTTCTGAATACATCAAAATATTTACTTTTTTATTTTTATTGTTAGAATTTTCACAAATTATACTTCCTAACACTTTCAGAATAATAAAATAATAAATTTTTCGTATTCTTGCTATTTAAACCCGTGTATTTGTAAGTAGTAGTTGTTTACAATATTCTCTGATGGTGGCAGCACCCGCGGAGAATGCACCAACCCTATTATACAGTCTGACAAACGGATCTGAAACAACGGGGCAACGGTGAGGGGATCGCAATTTTCTAAAATCATGACCGATTTCATTCATAAAATATCCACGAGCGTGCGGTGTTTCATAAAAATATATCAGGAATTTTTATAATATTTTCCAGTGAAGTTTATAATATTATTTTACTTTAAATGTACCTACATTTTGTTTAGTCATTTGCCAAATATAGTAATATTTGTTAAAACGCGTGTACTAATTACAATAAACACAAATCAAGTTAAAGACATAAAACACAATACAATAACACCGCCACTGGATTTTTCAATAGTAGTGACTGTTTCTACTATTCCTAGAGAGGGGCATAAAGTTGGGGGTAATGGCAGCAAGACGTGCGAGAATCTCGACCAATCAGACTGGTTGAATCCGGGATGCCATGATGAATTTTGTCAGCGTTGCCAGCTTACCCTAAGCGGACATTATCTTAAGGAAATACTTTACCTTTTATAATAGGCAGAACCTTAGATTAACAATGGCAGAACGAACGAAAACTGTTAATTAGATAAATACACATTATTACAATAAGGACTACGTCAACATATTAGCATATATATAATTATGTATGCTGAAATGAACTAAAATATATTCAATTTATAGGTAATATCGAGCAACTTTGCTTTTCTATAATTAAATGTGACAACATCGACTTTTTTTGCCCGAATTCCTTCCGCTGTTTTAGATTCGTTTGTCAGATAATACGTTACCGAGGTTATAAAATAGTTGCAAGATTAATCGATTTGCAACTTTTGTCACAAAACAGTCGCACCGTGGACGCTGGGCCTTAGGATTTACTATATTTTTGGTTGCATATTTTGTGAAGTTATTACTGCCTGAAAAAAATCCTTTTTATTTGCCGCTGCCATATAGAGCTTTTTTCCCTTAACACCTATATCATCGAGTCGTATGTACTTTTTTCTGAGCTTTGTCCAGGTAATTGGTTTCCGTAAATTTACGACGAAGTCGAAGAGGGGATATTTTGTAGAGCTTATTCTGATCGGGTCTGGGCTAGCCGGAACGCTACTACCAATTCTAGATAATTTCGTCGACGCGCTGCTACAACTAGGTGCTCGAGGTGGTCATTTCGAGCTACTCCCCTCCCCACTCCAGGTACAGCAGGGTGACTGTTATTTACCAAGTTGATCATTTCTCTCATGACGCCCTCTAAATTTTTAGTTTATTGTCTAAAAAAATAACAGACCATTGTAAACCCTTAATATTCACATTAAACCTTGCCCCGAAGAAAATTCATTTCCCACTTTTTGCAAATAATTTTTTTTCTCTCGATTTTGTTCTCTCGCAACCATGACAATCAGATATTCTTGTACAGAATTGAACGCTCTACAAAAAAGGTCTCTTACAATTTTTCGATAAACCTACTCCTTCAAAAGTTATTCACGGCTAAAGTTAACCACTCGGTAAATTCCTAAATTTTTCAACTTTTCTGAATAAATTATGATTATTTTTGAAAAATTTAATCTATTATTTGAAAAAAAAAGGAATTTTCATGATACCATGATAAAAATTTTGAATTACCTATTGAAAACAATTGCGTTTTGAAAGATGATGCATTTTGATTCGTGTTATTACGTGCGTTTTGTGTCAATTTTCATGATACCATGAGAAAAAATTTTGAATGATGGAAAAGAATTGAATGCATGACAGGTAGTTAATTCTAATACTTATTATTTTTGAGCTTGTATTCTTTTGTAGTACTTAATTAACTAATTTTAAGTAAGTTCCGTAAATTTCTGTTATTTTTCTAACATTTTTTTTTCTGTTGAGTTGGCGATTTGAATTTATTTTTACAAACATTCTTGCCAACATACAAAAAAATATCAAAAATATTAAAATCCAACTAATCCAACTTTTAAAAACCTAACCAAGAATGTTTATTAAAATAAATGGTTTAAACTTGATTAGACTTGAAGATTTCTTAATTCCCAACCTTAACACTATCAGAATTATTGTATATTTTTACAGTAATAGATTCAATTTTTCAAAAATAACCTCAAAAGAATACAAGCTCAAAAATAATAAGTATTAGAATTAAAAACCTGTCATGCATTCAACTGTTTTCCATAATTCAAAATTCCTATTATTACCTCAGGATTATGAATCTCAAGTACTTATTTAAGGCTGAGTCGACCTAGGTATTACTATTAATTTATAGACTATTTTTATTTTAATAAAAATAGTCGGCTGATGCAATGCCGGGTGTGGGATTCGAACCCACTACCTTGAGATTGGTAGACGAGAGCCTGTACCTCTATGCCACCGGGCACCTTAATAATAGATTAAATTTTTCAAAAATAATCATAATTTTTTCAAAAAAGTTGAAAAATTTAGAAATTTACCGAGTGGTTAACTTTAGCCGTGAATAACTTTTGAAGGAGTAGGTTTATCGAAAAATTGTAAGAAACCTTTTTTGTAGAGCGTTCAATTCTGTACAAGAATACGTTGCCATGGCTGCGAGAGAACAAGATCGAGAGAAAAAAAAATATTTGCAAAAAATGACAAATTCCCATGTAATTTAAACGGAAAATGAATCGTCTTTGGGGCAAGGTTTAATGTGAATATTAAGGTTTACCATGATCTGTTATTTTTTTTTGACAACAAACTAAAAATTGAGAGGGCGACGTGAGAGAAATGATCAACTTGGTAAATAACACACCCTCAGGTACAGTCGATAGCGTAATTCGTGGAATTAAACGTGGGGGTCGTCCTGCATCGAAATATACATAAAAGAGAACCGCAAACGCCAATAAGTGTCAGTCTGTGCGTTTTTTTGTTGCCTAGTTATCTTCTATCTTTTCTCGCTTAAGTATGGCTTATAATCAGTCTTGTTTTATTACTCATTGCAACGTTGCCGTCACCGGGGATCCGCCATTACGCCGGGTGATGCTGCTGGTGTAGCGAGACGTCCGACGGTCGCGTCGAATACTGCTCTTCCAGCTTAAAAAAGAACAGATCAGGTCAGTTAGAGATATTCGATCAAACACCAGGAGATGACACGATGTGATGAAAGCCTTCAGATATGAGCATGCAAAGATAGTTGTTTTAAGTTAGTTGATAATGTGGGAGCTAGCCTACATACTAAGGGCTGGCAAAGGTTGGTCTTGGGTAGAGATTTCCGTATGTAAGAAGAGTACAATGCGTTTATAATGTACTGAACAAAGAGACAACAGTAAACATGCTGCCAAACGTACGAACTAAACCGAGAAACTGCGCATAATGCTAAGAGACGTGGAAGGGGATATAGCAGATTTGACAGAAGTGTCTAGCCCTAGCAGTTAACTTTTAAGCTTGACCAATCAGGTTGGTTAGCGTGGTTATATGAAGTGTGTTAATTCATTTATGTTTGTTAAAAACTCTAACGTGATTGGTCGGGCTTAATAGTTGCCTGCTAGGGCTAGACACAAGTGATTTGACGCAGTCCACCGGTCGACCCAATCAGTACCTCTGTCAGTACCTAAAGTTCTAGGGAAAGGTGTACATCATGCGTTCAGCTTCACGATTTAATTACCGTAAAATGGGGTGAATAGAAACAGTTTCGTAGGCTATTAGCGATATACCGGTTGATAAAAATGTGGTATTATTTTCCCGAATATTTTAAAACATGGGTCTTTGTTTGTTCTTTGCGTATACATATAATTTGATTTTTGAAAAATATGCATATAAAATTAAATAAAAATAACATTTGTGTTTCTATTCACCTGCTATTCGGGAGAATAGAAACACACTTTGATGTTAAAGTTTTTATCTATTCTATTTCCAACAAGGTGATTAGAAACAATAAATTATTACATATTTAAGTAGGTTTAACAATAATTAACAATGCATATAATATCACAACTTACATGTACCAGCTTATGTATTACTTTAAAAATAAATATTTTATTTATAAAGTTTTCGCGCCATACAAAATAGGTGATAAATCGATCTCACATTTATTGATCAGCTGATTGACAGAAACAGTGCTGCCACAGATAAAAATATAGTTTTTACATTTTATTGTGTATTACCAATGATAGAAAAATTAGATATGTCGACTCTTTTTACTTTGAATATTTTTAATCGTGATTTGATTTTTTTCAGAAATCTTGTTTCTATTCACCACTATGTTTCTATGTTTCCCCCCATTTTACGGTACGTCTCGCGATACTTATTAACGAGTCGTTGTAATTTTCCCTATACCTTGAAAAATTTTAAGTGCAAGTGGAACACTTGCATTTTCGGTAAAAATAAGTGGAATTGAGTTCGACGGTGGTCGCGCTATTAGAACTCTGAATTCAAAAATCGATATCTCGAAATCTATTAAAAATAATTGATTGTAGTTTCTTCAAAAACTTTCTTAATATTTCTGCTATATTTTCTTCGTAGACAGTAAGTGAAAATCTTTATCAATAAAAAAATTATACGACTGCTGAAAATTGCGATGCTCTAAAAGTAAAAGATGGGTTGTTTACAATTCTTCAATGGAAAAAAACAACCTTATCGAATTTTTCTTATGTAAACATATTGTAAGGACGCAAACATAGTGAGGCATCTCGATGCGATACTCGCCAAGATGCTGGCCGCGCTGCTCGCCAGGATGGTAGCTGCGATGCATCCTACTCGCACTGTTTTAAAACACTAATAGGTGCGCGTAGGCATACTGAAGGATTTACCATCGTCGTTTTGTTAAACACCAGTTTATATAAAAAGTAGTTATTAATTAATTAGTATAGGCCCTTGTTGCATTTCAGTTGATTTCAACAAATTCCGACCGCAGCGCTACAACGGCAAAAATCAGATATTATCCCTACCTATTTCACGTCGCCGTCATGTTGATCGCACAGAATAATATTGAAATCGTGGTTTGGTTATAATATTTTTAAGTATTTTAGTTTTTGTTAGTGTAATTATTGAGACAAAAAAGAGATAAAACACTCAGGTACGAGGTTTGTGTGTGGTAACGCTGTTTTGGGTAACGCTGTTTCGTTGTGATGTAACGCTGTTTCGGGTAATAAAAAATAAATGAAAAAGAATTCGAACTAGGCGTCGTGCTGTGTTGGGACAATTTCAAATGTTAATAAAATTGCCGAAAAAATGTTAACGCGTAAAGGAGAGCGTATACTTTAGGGCGTTGTTGGGTGCAATTACATACATTCAATAACTCAACTCTCCCGAAACAAAATTTTATAGCTTCATAGATTTGATCAAAAGCAAAAATGGATTCAAGCATTTCGACGAAACAAGTGAGTAAACAAAGTGCTCGTTACATCATCAAAAAATTAAAAAGACATACTATAAGAGGATAAAATATAATTTGCAATATTAATGGTATACTTTTTTTTAATCAACTAGCGATTAAAGTACTTGTTATAAATAAATAAAGTCCATAAACTAATTTCGATTTTGAAAATAGCTATACTGTCGCTAGAAACTTGCCATGACGACATCAGCCCTCTTCGTTGCCATTTTATTGAAAAATTGCTCTTTATTCAAAATCTGAGCTAGATAGGTATAGGCTACCCTAATAAGAGTTTGAAAGAGCATCTGTTGAATCTGTTTAGATTTATTTTAAAAAATACAGGTTGTCCTATTTGAAATAACAAGATTTTTATGTAAAATAAATATTTAAAATCAGCAAAAGAATTAATTCTAAAAAGTAAAGTCCAGTGTGTTGATAATAATCTATTCCATTGTAGCATGCATATTTAAATATCTTTAAATATCTCAAAAACCAAAGCTTGTAAACATATTAATATATAATAACCCTTATAATATATGCCTTATTTTGTGTCCAAGGATCCAAATAAGAAATAAAATATCGGGTGTTCCATAAGAAAAAATATAATTTTGGTGTAAATCATAGTTCTGACATACTCTGTACATTTCAAAATAATTTTAAATTATACACATGGTCTTCCCACATATGCCCATAAAATATTTTGTTTCTACATATTTCCGTTTTCGTATAATCAACCGACGCGAATGAGTTGCGCCACCCCGTATATAAAAAAAATATTCGCGATCTACTCACATTTTTTTGAGCCACCCTTTAGAAGTTTAAATATTTTCCTCAAATACATCCTAATACATACTTTATGTCTGGACTACAAAATTCATAAGTTTTTTATTATTAGAACTACAGATGCCCGACGCACCATTGCCGGTAACGATATTGTTATAATTCCATTTCAGATGCTCAGAAACATGTCTAATGAATTTATCTAGTTATCTTTTCAAAAAAAGTCTTTTATAAATAAGCGGTTTGCGATCGTGATTTTACATTACTTGATAGGGAAAGACGTACCGGCAACGCCGCAACAGCACTCCGTCACATTTCTCTCACTCCGACTTAATAAGATCCCTATGCAATTTACTTCCATACATGTAAATACCGACCCAAAAGTAACAGTTGCCAGCACGGTATGATCTAGGATTTGAAATTACTAAATTCGGAACGCGCTCAATAAACTTTTTATCTCGGAACGTACTTTTTCAGACACGCCCTAAAACGAAGATTAGATATCTGATGATGACGTAACGTTGAACGACAGTTGCACAAACCATACAAAGACCAACCAATGAAAGCTAAATCTGCGTGCGCTAGGTACTTAATAATTCATAGATATTACCTTTTGAATTTGACTCATGGGGGACCCTTTGGAACTTATCGACGGACTAATGGGCGACAATTGCGACACTTCAGAGTCCACGCTGCTCATCCTCTGCCTTTTTATGTGATCCGGCGACAGGGAGGCCGCCCTTTTACTACCAACTCTCAGTTTTAGATGGGGTATTTTGGAGGAGGCCTGTAAAAAAAATATGTAAAATTTTACTGTCATATACAGGGTGTTTTTTTCCCATCACAAAAAGTGCCTTTTTGTGATTCTAATTAAATTTTGAGGGTAAATGTTACATATTATAATATTAAAAAATTGTCGACAGATTCACCAAGGACGTGCTGGAAATTTTTTCTAAAAAAAGCATGTGCCTCAGTGGCAAAAAATGAATATTTTAACCCCTTGTAGCGACGAAACAAAGCAGAATCAGACCTACCACTCTGTATATCGACTTTAAGAAAAAGTCTCGGTTATCTTATATCTATTTCTTTATGTGTTTTCTTTTCTATAGTTTTGACAAATTTTTGTGTATTTTTTGTCCTCTTCACACATTCCTTAAAAAATAATACAGTTTTAATTGAACGTTTATAACTGACCTTATTATCTGGCTGTTTGGGAACGACTTCTTCGGCCGAGGACTTGACATTGTTGTTGGCGTTCCGTTGCGCAATGTTCCTTTCGCGCATCTGCTCTTCCTGCGCGCGCAACTGGTCAGCTTCGTTGGCATTGTCCGATCCCGGAGACGGTAAGTTCTGCATAAGCTCGTGGATTGCGCTTTCCACCACTTGGGGATCTTCCGTGAAATCGTCACTTCTTACTTTTTGTAACGTAGCCACCCTTCTCATTATCTACCAGAATACAATAATATGTGTCTATATTATACAGTCTGACAAACGAATCTTAAATATCGGAGCAACGGTAAGGGTAAAATTTTGAATTAATAAAGAAATAATGAAAGAAGCGATAGCCTCTAAAAGAAAAATAAAAGAGGCTTTTTTACTACAATCTAATAAAAATAAATGTATTGTTCATGCATCTCTAGATGTTGTATGGGCAATCGCTTCTTTGATTTTACAGAACATAACATACATAAAAATTAAAAATAACCATACAGAAAGTTTGAAGCTTTTTGGTTTTAACCATAGATAAATGAAACAAGTTTAGATTGGAAAGTGCCCATAAGGACAATGTAAACACTATTTGGCGCTATTTTTGCAACGGTCGCGACCCAAAACTTTCGAAAATTTCGGAGCGGTTCGGCTTTTTCCGGAATTATATCGCCAAATATTGTTTATTCAAATTTATTATTATTTTCGTTTAATTTTATAAATAAAATACAGTGTGTTGCATACAAGAAACTTTATTTTATATAAGGACGCATGTATGAAATACCTATGAAACATTGGAAACCGACGTTATACCGTGGCATAACGTCGGTGATCCACGATGGTTTTTGTAGTTCACAGTTCACAGCACAGCTTTTTAAGTTTTTAATGCCACTTTTTCACAATTATCACCGGTTGGAGTAAATAAAACCTGAATTAAACTTACAAGATAGCAATAATTACTTTGAAAATGGGCGCTATAAACACTTTTCGGAATTTCTTTAATGAGAGCGGTTTAGATTTTGAAAGATTATTATGATTTTTGAAGATTCTGACTTTGACAAGAGAAAATTATTTCTTTTTTTGTTTGCCGTTGTTCTTAGCGACCGCTATAGCAGCGCCAGATCGCGTATAACGGTCGCGACCCAAAATAATTTCGCGACCTAAAATTTTTACGGGCTTTCCAATCTAAACTTGTTGCATTTATCTATGGTTTTAACTTATTTATATTATTTATAGTTATTAGGTAGTAATTGTTAATTTTGAAGTTTAACTTGATATAATGTCATTTTAACAGAACGTCAACGGTTTTTGTAGACGTTTCTGTTTTAACAAAATATATTAAACTTGAAAATACAGGAAAATTTTAATGTGCCCGTTTTTCATGCCGGTGAAAGTAGGTATTATAAATCAGAATTTACCTGACTGGTTTCTGAACACTGTTCGTCCTCCATGCCGCTACTACTGTCTTCAGAATCGCCCAAATTCGACAGCGGATTGCTGAAGATGGCGCCGTACCTCCTCTTCATCTCCCTGATCTCCATCTGGCCCTCGTCCTCGTTCACGAGCGTGTTGACGCAGACGAAGCTTTCCACGATGCCCTTTTTGTCTATCTCCAGAAATCCGAAGGTTTTCAGGTAGATGAACTCGCCGTTACGCGACTTCAACCGGTAGCAAGAATTTCCTCGACTCTCTCCTTTGTCGTACACTGAAGAAGGTGACATTTTAAATTTAAATAGGAGCTGTATATATAGTCTGTGAAACGAATAACTTTGAATTTGACAGTTCCGGCGGGCTTCTCTAGTGTTAATTTTATTATGTTAGCAACTTGCGGCCATGCTGACTGATGCTGACCAATGCCGTCTCTAATAGAACAGCATCGGAGCGAGATTTATGACGTCACGCTAGTTAGATACTACGGATTAATAAATATGTTGTAGAATACATGGAAAACATAATAATTATTCCTCGTATTTTTGGTTTGTAGCTTAAAAATGATAGAGTTTACATGAAATATACATAATATACAGTTAATAAATACAATATATTATACCTATTCATAGTAATAAATACTTTGGCAAATGTTTTACAATATACAAATAATGAATTGGTACATAAGATACTGGGTAAAATTTAAAATATATTCTAAATTTTGGGGTTTGAAAATCGATCTAATTTAACAAAAAACATTCATATTATGTAACATTATTATTATCAACGACATTGCAAATCTATACATTAGCGGTAAAATCTGCCTCTTTGCGGACGATACTAGTTTCACTTGGAGCGGCCGAGATGTTACGGCACTATATGATACTATATCCAGTGACTTACGCACCATTAAATCTTGGTGCGATTCTAATCTCCTATGCCTCAACCTTTCAAAAACTAAAGTTTTGTCATATAAAAGTACTATACAACCTTTTGTACTTAATAACACCACTATTGACGTCGTGGACTCTGTGAGATTCTTAGGACTTGTTGTGGACAACTCTTTAAAATGGGACTTGCACATCGAAGCCTTATCAAAGAAACTAAGCTCTGCCTGTTTTGCGCTAAGATCAGTGTCTAAGGAACTTAACTCATCAACCTCTAGAATGGTCTATTATGCCCTTTTTGAGTCGCATCTTCGTTATGCCCTTCCATTCTGGGGTACTTGCTGCGCGACAAAATTTGATCGTATTTTCAAACTTCAAAAGAGAGCAGTTCGGTACTTATTGGGACTAAACAGTAGAACTCACTGCCAGAATTTCTTTAAAAATTTAAAAATACTGACTCTTCCTTCCTTATTCATTTTTGAATCCGTTTGCTTAATCCGCAAGCACATATTCTCTATTCCGGAAAGGTCTTCTCACAACTATCCACTTAGGAATGCGGAGCACGATATTTATCTGCCAACCCCGAGCTCAGAACTAGTTAAGGGCTCAATACTGTACAATGCCAAGAAAATGTACAATCATTTGCCTTCGAATATCAAGTCACTTTCATTCTTTCCCGCATTTCACAAAGCTCTGAAATCATACTTACTGGAGAGAGCCCTATATGCGGTAAACGACTTTTTTGTTGATGTTTAATCATGAACAATTTAGAATTTTAATTTTAATATCATCTCACGCACTGGTTAAAGGTCTAGTATTTAATGTTTTATAACTCTTGATTTTATGTTATTATAACATGATTTTATCCATTTACAGTTTTCCTTTTGTAAAATTTTCTAGATACGCCTGTGTTCTGCAATGTCCATATATGTTTTATTTGTAATTTTATGACGTAATTTTTTTTTGAATTGATTTGTATTGTATGACATTTTTTTTTTATTATTTGTATATTTGTTTTTGTGCTTTTTTTGTTTTGCTTTGTCGATGAAGCTGTTTTGGCTTTTTGTACAATAAAGCGTTGTGTTTTTTTTTTTCATTATCTAACTAGCGTGACGTCATAAATGTGGCTCCGGGGCTGTTCTATTAGAGACGGCATTGGTCTGATATTTAGAAATGTCAAAAGCTGATGACATTTTACTTTTGACAATTATGACATTTCGTGTTGATTTTTGCAAGAAGAGGAAGAACTGTCACTTGTTTTATTATTTTCCTTTTCTATTTCGCGAAAGTAAAAAGAGTTACCTATCTGATTAGTTTAGGCACTCAATTTAAAGAATATCAGTAACTTTTTTGATAGAGGGATTTTATATTTGCCATGCTAGTAAAAAATAACGGTCAAAATTCAAAGTTATTCATTTTATAGACTATATAAACAATGCATTTCCATACCCATGTTTATAGGCACTTTTTTCATATTTTTTGATGAGGAATCAGTGAGTACTAGTTTAACGCTTTCGGAAGATAATCATATTAAAAAATTTTAAACGTTGCTATCAGTGACGGCTTAACCATGAGACCATTTGAGGTCAATGCCCCCCCCCCTCCCCAAAAAAAATCAGGAGAAAATTAGAAAAACTCATTAAGATAACAACAAGGTAAAGTATACTACGTATAGAAAATATAATGGGTTAAGGTGCGATAGATATAGTTTATATTGGTCATTGACCGCGTCATTCATAGAAGGATTTCTAAGGTAGGCAACTTTATATAGACTTGTATTTAGTAGCTTACTGACAGACGATATAAAAAGTGGCGGTTTTTGTATTTGTCTAGAAACCCCCCAGCGTGTTATTATTGTAATTTGTAATATTGTTTATCAGTTGAGAATCAACATAGTTGATTAAGAAATATCGAGTGCATTATTTCTATATAAATATATTACAAGATTTCAGTCATATCGCAGGAAAAATTTCGCCTAAACTAAACCTAGGTTTTTGTATTGTTTATCGCGTATCGCGTATAATGTTTGGTTTAGTCAGTATAAATCAATATTTAAATTTTTAATATCGAAAAGAATTTTAGTTTTAGTTGCCGTAGCTTTGTCGTAGCCGAGGGTTTGAGATGCAGCGGGAAATTTGTGTAGGTAATAATTCATAATTTTCTGGTTCTGGATAAATGATGAACTCTTGTTGACTGATTCTGGAATAGATATTTTCAAATAGACAATATATGGTGTTTAGTTTGTAAAATCGTGCGGTTAAAAGAAAACAATTATTGCTTAAATTTCGAAAAACGTTTAGAGAAACGAAAATATAATGAAAATATAAGAAACTTAAAATATAAAAAAAATGCGAAATAAAACTTTTAGAAATGTGTATGTGTATTTATATTTTTATATTAATATTTAAGTGTCTTTTAAATCGTACCGTGGAAAATTTGTGTAAAGAACATTGACTGGCTTTTTAGTGAAATGGCACTAGACCAGATGTTTTTTAACATAATTTGTATTTACTTTTAGATTTATATTCCTTTAACTAAACGTACAAGTACCTTTGTAAGAAACCAATTAAATTTGGTCGCGTCTTAACAAAAAATCGACGCAATATTTTTAGACATTGACCTCCCTACAATAACCACGACCCGCCACTGGTTGCTATTAGACTTGGATGAAGACAAATTAATAAAATTGCGTTTATGTTATCAAGGAGGCCGAAAAAATGGAATACCATGCACAGAAATTCGTTATTTATGAGAACAAATCAATAGTTTAACTTAGTTTACTAATACTACGGTTACCCAAGAACGGTAAACTAATAGGATTGCTCATCCTCATAAGACGTACGTTCGCCTCTTCCCGCGCTTCAGCTGACAGTTGCGACGTCATTGTAGTCCTTGTCATGATAGTGTGTATTGTTAGTTGCCTATGATAAACTTATAAAAATAATAGCTGAGAAATTTTGAGTTATTTTGTCAATTTTAAATGTGAAAAAGGTGTTTTTAACGTTTTTAGAGCTATAGTGTATAAATACGTTCATTTTGTGTTGTGGATTGTGACAAAGTGCTTACTAAGTGCCTACGATATTGTTTATTAATTATTTTAAAGCAAAATATGGAAATACTCTAAAAAGAATGCTTGCAAAAGGTGATGCTGGGAACTACTGCTCTTAAAAATGCATTATCCGAGTATTTAATACGATTTATAGTTAATTTTCTATACTGCATACATATAAGGTGTTTAAATAAATAAACTAAAAAATGAACCTTTTGCATCCGGCAACCAATAATGCACGTGTGTGTATTATTGGTTGCCGGATAAGGACTAATGACAAGGACTACAATGACGTCACAGAGCGAGGAGTTTTCGCATGCACCTGGCGGACATTTTTGGCTGAATGAGCAGTCCTATTAGGTTAACTGTTCTTGACGGTAACCGAAAAGAAAATCTATGACTAACTTTTTAAAAATGAAATTCAAAAAGCTGTAGTCTTGGTCTCCAAATTACTTACTTTGTCTTAAGGCTATCATCACCCATCGCACGTCATCCCTGTGCATGTAAAGGAAGGCGCTCTGATTGGTCACTTCGTCTGACATGTACCCTGCTATCAACGATATCCTCTGGTCGCATCCGATGATCCTGCCATCAATTAGATGCCGCGTCACGTACTCATCCTTGGACGCCTGTTGCAACATGCCAATGAGGGGCTCGGGTCGGAATATCTTGGCAAAAAATATCAGGAGCTACAAAAACATTTATCATAAGTCTAGATCAACAAGTGAATCTCTGTTTATGAGTTTTTATCACAGGTTTTTCAGGGTATGTACGGGTGACTAAAGAAATAAAAAGACACGCAACCATATGGGCGATTTCGTGACACAAAACCTGTCTGAGATGTAGCTGGCGTTACAGTAAGCCTATCCGAGAACTCCGAGATTTAGTTTATCTCTGCGCCGCTGCGCGCTGATGGTCGTGCACAGCCGTAACTACCGTAATAACAAGGCCGGACGCTTATTCGTGACGCCATCAACTGGAGGCCTAAACTTTGATTGCATTTGATACACTTTATACGATATAATGGATATAAACTTTAATTGCACCGAATTTTTAATAAATAATAATTAAACATAAAAAACATCAGATCCCATCTCACATTATCCATCGCCATTGTATTTATTTATGCTGTAAGTGTGTCTAAGTTTCTTTTATTTCCTTTTCCAAGTCTATCATTTTTTTACAACAGTAGTTTTTCAGACGTGTATTTCTAATAGGATTTATGACAATTTTTACAATAACTTATATATATATATATATATATATATATATATATATATATATATATATATATATATATATATATATATATATATATATATATATATATATTTTGTTTTCACTCTTGGCTTTAGGTCGTTGGGGTTGCAAAGATGTTTCTAGATTTTGTTCATTATTTTTTTATTTTATGACGACGTTTCGACAGTATATGTCTTTTTCAAGCCTCTTTAAGTACATAAAAACAGTCAGTTAAAATCAATAAGATAAAATGTCAAACTAAAAGGTCTTACCTTGAACGTAGATTCTTACAGAGTTAAAATTTGTTAAAACTGGACAACACAATAACACATATTAACTATTGTTTTAATTGTTTTTGGACATCACACTTTACTATAGAGCACGTACGTATTTCCTAGCAGATCGCTCTGTATAAAACACATTTATCATTTCAAAACCCGATGTCTACTGTTTTTAGTGCGTAGAGGATCGACAGATATATTTTGCTTAGATTTTTTAGGTCTTTTTTATCATTTACCGCGTTTTTGTAGCGTTTTTTTGTATCTCCACCATTTCATAAAATCCTCTCTTTTTTTGGTGATTTTCTGTTTTTAAAATTTTAGTTTTATTAAAATCGAATGTATGATTTTCTGTTGACACATGATTTGTGAGGGCGGTTACATTTTTTTATCATACTTGTGCCCTTTCAGTCTATTTTCTAACCATTGAGAAGTTGTCCTATGTAAACTTGGGCGCAGTTCGAACATGGAATTTCATATATAACATTGCTTCGTTTGTTTAACGGTGTTACAGATTTTAGTTTAGAGAAATTATTAGCTAACAAGTTATGTGCTTTATAACAAATCGTTATATTATACTTTTTATGTAACCCTTGTAATTGTTGAGACAACCCATTTACGAAGGGGAGCGCAATATATCGTATATCTTTTTTAATCTTTTTATTTTCTATTTGATTTTGATTGTTTTTTGTGTTTAAGAATTTTTGGAGTCTATCTTTGAATATTTTGTTTATTAGTTTTTGTGGATGGTTATTTTCTTTTAATGCATTTTTTGCTTTTTTTATTGCAGCATCTCTATATTCTGGTCGGATAGACGAATTGATCTGTCCGCCAAGCCAATTATCACCGATCTTTTTTGGTTAGCTGGATGGTTAGATAGAAAATTGAGATATCTTGAGGACCAAGTTTTCTTTGTATACCATTCGGTTTTTATGGTTTGATTGGTATGATGTAAAGTAATATCTAAGAAGTTAATTTTTTTATCGTTCTCTATTTCTGACGTAAATTGAATATGTTTATTATAGGCATTAAATTTTTCTTCTATATACCTAATTTTTTCTTTTGGTATAGCTGTTAGACAGTCATCAACATACCGATAAAAAAAGGGTATTTCAAAATCGATATCAGATAGAACTTTACTCTCCAAGTGTTCCATAACCATTTGCGCTGCAACACTAGAAATCGACGCCCCCATTGCACAACCCTCAATCTGCTTATAAATTTGGTCTTTATACATAAAGTAAGTTGAGTTAAGCGTAAGTTCAGTAGCTTCAATAAATTCGTTCATCGGGATATCAGTGTATTGCTTAATTTCGTCCCATTTTTCTTCGATTACCTTTGTTACTAATTTAATTGGGATACTGGTATATAGGGAAATTACATCTAAAGATACTAATATGTAATTTTGTGGTATTGTTATATCTTTTATTTTTTCTTTGAGATCAATGGAGTCTCTAATGTAATAATTATTTTTATAAACTATATTATTGAGGATGTTTTTTAAAAATTTAGAGAGTAAATTGAACGGGGATTGAATACAGGATACAATGGGTCGCAACGGTACGTCATTTTTGTGAATTTTAGGAAGTCCATAAATTTTCGGTGTAATAGCATTATGAATTTTAAGATTTTTTGCAACACTTGGAGGAATATAAAGTTTTTTATCCCACCTGTCAATAAGTTCGTTATTTTGTTTTTGATATTTTTTTGTGGGGTCTGTTTTTATGATTTTGTAGGTTTTTTTATCTTCTAATAGTGTATTCATTTTTTTATCATAATCAGATTCTGTCATAATGACTGTTTTACTTGTCTTGTCGGCTCTTAAAACTTTTAAATGCGTGTGGTTCTTTAGAAACTGGTTTGTTTTTTTTATTTTTAATTTTAGTTTATTATCTCTTTTTTGCCTCTTAGACTTATTTTTTAATTTGTTCTGAAAGTTCGTTATTATATTACACGTTTTTGCTCTTATTTCGTCCTGCTCGTATAATCTTAAATGTTTTATACCATTTTCAATGTTACAAATGATTTCATTAGTGGGTATTTGTTTGTCTAACAGCTCTAACAGCTATACCAAAAGAAAAAATTAGGTATATAGAAGAAAAATTTAATGCCTATAATAAACATATTCAATTTACGTCAGAAATAGAGAACGATAAAAAAATTAACTTCTTAGATATTACTTTACATCATACCAATCAAACCATAAAAACCGAATGATATACAAAGAAAACTTGGTCCTCAAGATATCTCAATTTTCTATCTAACCATCCAGCTAACCAAAAAAGATCGGTGATAATTGGCTTGGCGGACAGATCAATTCGTCTATCCGACCCAGAATATAGAGATGCTGCAATAAAAAAAGCAAAAAATGCATTAAAAGAAAATAACCATCCACAAAAACTAATAAACAAAATATTCAAAGATAGACTCCAAAAATTCTTAAACACAAAAAACAATCAAAATCAAATAGAAAATAAAAAGATTAAAAAAGATATACGATATATTGCGCTCCCCTTCGTAAATGGGTTGTCTCAACAATTACAAGGGTTACATAAAAAGTATAATATAACGATTTGTTATAAAGCACATAACTTGTTAGCTAATAATTTCTCTAAACTAAAATCTGTAACACCGTTAAACAAACGAAGCAATGTTATATATGAAATTCCATGTTCGAACTGCGCCCAAGTTTACATAGGACAAACTTCTCAATGGTTAGAAAATAGACTGAAAGGGCACAAGTATTATAAAAAAATGTAACCGCCCTCACAAATCATGTGTCAACAGAAAATCATACATTCGATTTTAATAAAACTAAAATTTTAAAAACAGAAAATCACCAAAAAAAGAGAGAATTTTATGAAATGGTGGAGATACAAAACAAAAAACGCGGTAAATGATAAAAAGACCTAAAAAAATCTAAGCAAATCTGTCGATCCTCTAACGCACTAAGAACAGTAGACATCGGGTATTGAACCGATGAATGTGTTTTATACAGAGCGATCGGCAAGGAAATACGTACGTGCTCGTAGTAAAGTGTAATGTCCAAAACAATTAAAAACAATAGTAATATGTGTTATTGTGTTGTCCAGTTTAACAAATTTTAACTCTGAAAGAATCTACGTTCAAGGTAAGACCTTTAGTTTGACATTTTATCTTATTGATTTTAACTGACTGTTTTTATATACTTAAAGAGGCTTGAAAAGACATATACTGTCGAAACGTCGTCACAAAATAAAAAATAATGAACAAAATCTAGAAACATCTTTGCAACCCCAACGACCTAAAGCCAAGAGTGAAAACAAAAAATATATAGTATACAGGTCAAAGAAACGAAACAAAAAAAATATATATATATATATATATATATATATATATATATATATATATATATATATATATATATATATATATATATATATATATATATATATATATATATTATATATATATATATATATATATATATATATATATATATATATATATATATATATATATATATATATATATATATATATATATATATATATATATATATATATATATATATATATATATATATATATATATAATAACTAAAAATGTTAACTTATTCTTACATGTATCGCATTTAATTTCCTTTAAAACAATATAACAGCAATATCCTTCTAAATAAGCAATAACAGGTCTAACCTTCACATTTTCGATATCTTGTTCAGAAATAGTAATGTCGATGTTAAACCAATCTGATTCAATGTGGTACTTGTATTGCGTGGTATTTCTTTAGACAAGGTATTGTCATCATAAAATCATAAAAAGTATAGATTTTTATAGAACCAAAACAAGTAGATTTTAGGGACATTAATGACTGAATACTAAAATATTCCTTTATTAAATTTGATTGACAAAAAGTGAGAGATAAACATTTATTGACTACTATGATTTTTTCCGTATTCTATTAAAACTATTTTTATATACTATAATATTTTTAAAAACTCGGAAAAAGATATTTTAAAACTTCGAAATATATCTGCTGTGTGAAAAAAGATCCACAATTTGAACTTTTATCGGGTAATTATCAACGCTGCTAAATAGAGTTAGGCCTCCAGTTGGTGACGTCACGAGATTATTACGTCACAGCTTCCCGGCCTTGTTATTACGGTGGTTACGGTACAGCGCAGCGGATAAAGAATACTGTACGGTAGTTCAGCTTTCAGTCGACAGAGGGAGTGGTTGCCGGAGACAGTGTTGCCAGAACCAATGATTAATCCGTAGATTTACAGATTTTGGATACAGTACGTTAATAATACGGATTTTTTTTAACATTAAACAATTTAAGAAAGCATTATAAATAGTATATTGTATAACATTGTATAAACATTATATAATTAATTATATAATTAAACAAAGAACGGCGTCAGAGTTGGCTTGGAAATGAAGATCGCTGTTATTTCATATGTAAAATATTATGGTAAATGTCAATAATCATCATTTCCAAGCCAACTAAACGATTTTTTTCGATCATACGATATATTCGGTACCTATAAAAGAATTTTTATTTTTGTTGTTTATTCTATGTTTGATACGAATAAATTTTCAATACATAAACGCGGATTTTTCATCCAAAAATATTTTCGTCCGAAAAAAAAACGTATTATAGATATTACACATTTTAATATGGCAACACTGTCGCTTTCAGTTCCACACCGTCTTCGATATGCCTTAGCTGGCCGAATTAGAGAAAATAAGTGTTTCATGCGTTGGCCGCAGAACGACTGGTGTCTCCACCGTACAGCACTTGAGACGTAAGGGGAAATCAAATCAGCCTTTTCACGAATTTACCCATCAGGTTGCTTATCTTCCCAATTCTTTCAATCAACGCTTGTACTAAAACGTGTGTTGTAAGTAGCCGTGGCAACATTGTGTGCATTCGTTAATGTCCGTATGTAAAATATTCGATTGTGTGAAGCCGCCTTTAAGTACCTATGAGTTGGATCGAATTTTGCGAGAACTTACGTCCGAATTGTATGGTTCCGGTGCGCCTCCTGACGTGGACGGCACCAGGGCGGTACAGTTCGCATTGGTACTGTCGACATTGGTCGGGGTCATTTGCTTGTGGATGCCCATCATTTTGATGGTCTCGTAGATGGCGGGTTCAGAACGGGGACCCGCCCTCTTGATGCGTATACTGAAATATTTTCGCCAGCCTTGTTCTAACTGGAATCAGAAAAAAATATCAAATGTTTTGCTTTTTGTTTGTGAGAAGTTTGACAGTTACAGTTATTGTATGTTATTGAATATTAAAGTAGAATCAATTCTGTCATTTCTGTAGTATTTACACATTTAAATAGTATAGATAATAAATCATAGAATTATAATAAGTATAATGATTTCACTCACCTCTCCTTCACAGCGCAGGTACGTTTTTAATCTTTCGCGGTCTTCGGAAGCTGTCACTGAATACAACGATTCACCCAGTAAATCTGTCTGAAACAAAGAAGATTTATTTATATTAAACCACAATAAATAATTCATTTATTAGTAAGCCATTATCTACCTTTTAAACTAATAATAATTATTATATTTTTATTGTAAAATTTAAAAAAATTAGTGATTTCCTTTAAAAAAACCTATTATTTTAAAATCAGAGGGGAGTCCTTTATTTAAATTTATACATATAGATTCCATTAGTATCTGAAGTGCTTTATTATTTTCGAATTGTCAATCTATATACAATCGCAGTGGATATTTATAGACCACCTTCGACAATATGGGTTTTAAGCATCTCGTCTACACATAACATTTTCCCTGTTCAGTCAAAACGTATCATGTAATACCTTGTGTGCAGGTGTAGATACCCTCTATAAATCCGTCCATAATAAGATTGGTATTTGGGTAATAACATAAGGTAATCTATACTAATATACCGTATGATCGAATAAAAACGGCGTCAGCGATGGCTATGAAATGAAGATCGCTGTCATTTTATATGTAAAATTATATTGGAAATGTCATCGATCGTCATTTCCAAGCCAACTGGACGCCATTTTTTTTCGATCATACGGTAGAAAATCCTTAAGTGACTGACTCACTGATTAATCACGATCCTGCTCAAACCACTCAACGTAAGAAGCTCAATTTTGGCATACAGGTTGATTCTAGGGTGTAGAGGTTCGATAAGAAGGGATTTTTCGAAATTCCTGTTCCAAATGGGGTGAAACCACCCCTCAAATATTACAATATTTTTTATTTAAAAACGGTCAAGTTTCCGAAAAAACGCTTAAACATGTATATTTTATTTTGTTCTTTTACATATTTTAAGATTTTTTAAAAATGTATACAGGGTGTTTCAAAAAATCTGGTCATTGATTAATCACGATCATGCTTAAAACGCTTGACGTAAAAAGCTGATTTTTGGAAAACGGATTGACTTTAGGGTGTAGAGGTTCGATAAGAAGGGATTTTACGAAACTCGAATTCTAAAGGGGTGAAACCACCCCTCAAATATTTGAATATTTTTTATTTAACAACTGGTGAGTTTTTCGGAAAAACTCTTAAACACGTATTTTATTTTGTTATTTTACATATTTTAAGATTTTTTAAAAATTTATACAGGGTGTTTCATAAAATATGACCATTGAGTAATCACGATTCTGCTTAAACTGCTTGACGTTTAAAGCCTATTTTTGGCAAACGGATTTTTCGAAAGTCAAATTCCAACGAGATGAAACTACCCCTCAAATATTACCAAGTTATATAATAATATCGCCATATTGTTTTTTCTCATGCTGACATAAATGTGAGAAAATTTTATCTAGTTTGTATGTTAATGGAAATTCTTGCTTTGCTTTATCGTCACCACTACAAATGATTAATTTGACGCGAACGAAGTCGCGGGTACACGCTAGTAATTGATAAAATCGCCGATAAAATTTCCAGTGTATACGCTACCAATCCTTCTTTCGTCTGGAGAACTGTCGTCAGTGTCTCCGTTTTACCTGACAGGTAAAACTTTATGTGTAGACGGGCCTTTAAACATACAACTTTTTTTATTACAGGCTGATTTTGATAGCAATTTTTATCTGGAATTCTGCCAGATTCACCTAAAACCAGTAGATTATTTACATGTACCTGTCAAGGACGATCAGACAACAGATAAACATTACACATAGGATTTTTTTCTCTCATTGGGAAATTAAATAAATATTATTCTCGACTGTCTATGACGCCATAGTGTCTTATCTCTTTTTTTTTTGCTTGAATTACTAAAACCTATTATGAGGCTTACTGTAGAATAAAAAGTGTTTTGGATAAAGAATTTTAAGATTTTAATCCAATATAAATGATTTTTTGATGAACATAACATAATAGTCTAAGAGCTAGCAACGTTTTCGAGAAAGTATTTTAAGACGTCTGGCTCTTTGATATATCTTTTACTATGCTCTCTCGAACAGCATGCGGCCCGTCTGGCTGCCGATACCCGTTGCGTTCACTACTGCACATCGGAAGAAGATCCTATATTTTTTATTAATTTAGTTCTATAAACTCTAGTATTGGATATAAATCGAATATGTCTCCATAGCGCAGTGCGTAGAGTTTCCGAGCACAAACCGATGATTCAGAGTTCGAATCCGGGTCAGGGCAAAGACTTTTTTATTTTATTTTCGTGTATATTCTGATAATAAAGTATTAAATAATTCTGGGGGTTCAAAAAAACAAATATTTAATACTTTACTATCAGAATATAAACGAAAATAAGACTATCTATCGTGTAGACCGCGCTTTATACCTTAACCTTGTTCTAAGTTCAATAAGTAGAAAAATGCATTCGGAAGATCAATAGAAACAAAGTTGAGTGTAGTAACTTATACCATAACTTTATCCATAAAGTTTATAGTGTCTAAGGAAACAGAAGAAAAACAGTAGTCCTCCATAAAAAATGTACATTTTTTTATTAATGATTTTTAAATTACACGGTTTTATAAATATATTAGAACCATTAGCATTCAAAGGCTAAGTTACGATTATTAAAAATTTTATGCATTACAGAACTCGTTAAAAGAGAATTAGACAATTTCTTTCTTTCTAAAAAAGGAAAACTTCGCCGCGAGAGTTCTTAATAGTCTCATACAGGGTGCAAAAAAATCATGATTAATTTTTTTTAAATTTTAATCAGTGTTATATCTTTTACAAGTTGATTTTTTCGGTTTAAATCCCTGATTACCTTGCACCCTGGTAATCATATTACTTCGTAATTTATCAGAACGTTCATTTATATGTTTAAAGTCGTATTCTAAGTTAAAGAGAAATCCTTTAAAAATAAAAATAAGACTTAATTGTCCTTGTGGTAGGACAATTAAATACTTAAACAAACGACTTCCGATGACGATAATGTATAAATTATCTGTAAATTTTATTTATGTATTCAATGTCAGCGAAAATAGATAACCGTTGGATGGAGATAAAAGTTTATAATTTTAAGTATTATTCAAAAATTAAGCGGAAAACAGCATATTAATATATGTTAAATGGATGATAAAATTCAGACAAAAATAATATAAATATACAAATCAGATATAAAAAAGAAAATGCTAGGTTGCCGCTTATTTATTAATGATTTGATTTTCCTTACTTTTGATTACACGTTACTAATCGTTAATTCGTTACTTTGATTACTATGATACTTTTTACTGATTTTGGTACTGCTGTCAATTTTGTCAACTGCCGTCAACCTTTGTGTCTAATTTCACCTGCTTAAGGGACATATTTTGAAAAATAGATTCTTAGTACCCACGTCTTTCATTTAATGGACCTCTGTGTGTTAATTTAATACTTCTAGAACTATTACAATTTTTTGTACAAATATTCAAAAGTTCACTTGTACAAAATTTCACCCCTAATTTCACCCTCAGAGGGTGAAATTAGGGGTGAAATTCTAACCCCCTAATAAAATTAGGAGGTTAATATTGTAGGTATTTTTTTTAAATCTATCCTAGAAGTATGAAATTTTACACAGAGGTCACTTAAGCGGTGAAATTAAATACTAAGAAGCGATTTTCGGAAATTCAACCTTTAAGGGGGTGAAACTACTGAAAATAGGGGTGGAAGTTTAACTTTTTATACTATGTATCATTTAGTTCATTGTATCGTACTTATACCTATACCTAATATGCATAGTATTGTATCGTAAATGTAATCAAATGCAAGTTCTATGAAAATATAATAGTCGAATTTGCCAAATACCCTAGATTCTACCGTATGATCGAAAAAAAACGGCGTCCAGTTGGCTGGGAAATGACGATCGATGACATTTCCCATATAAATTTACATGTAAAATGACAGCGATCTTCATTTCACAGCAGTCGCTGACGCCGTTTTTTCTCGATCATACGGTATTATACGACCCATTGTATTTTTAAAGAATTCGCATTTAATAACATTTTTACAATGCAATACTATACATATTACGTATAAGTACGACCCATGATAAATGCTAAATACTTAGTATGCTTTAAGTAATAATAGTAATCAAAGTAACTGTATGGTTTTAAATTCGATACTCGTTACTTCGGGCATCGATGAGTAACGAGTAGTTACTTTTTCAATATTTCTATTATTTATTTAAAAAATCGTATATCGCGCTGACAAGTCTTGCTATTGGGTTGTTATTTACATGAGTGCAAGTGAATCGCGTAGGGATCTTATTCAGTCGGAGTGAGAAAAATGCGACGGTGGACGGTGTGCTGTTGCGACGTTGCCAGATTTATCGGAGATACAGGTGCGCGTTTGCCTAGTCGAACGACGCTAATTCCTAAGTTTTTTTTTCGAAATGATAACTACATAAACTCATTAGATATGTTTCTTCTTCAATTTATTTTTATATTGAATAAAAGGGAGTTTTAAATTCGAGACAAAAGAATTTTTTGGAAATAGACTTGTGTGCCTGGAAACGCTCTACTTATATTTTATTTTTTTTTGTATACTTAGCGTTAATTTTTGATAAGTATTGTGTCAATTTTAGTATATGACGTCTAGACATTGACCCCGCCAAAATTATCATCGATGGTCATTCCCCAGCCGTCTTTAAGGCCGTTTTTTTCGATATAATAATAAACACGTTCCACGTATAATAAACACGTTCCACAAAGCTTCAATATACACCAAAGAATAGAGCTTCAATTTCTATTACTTTTTGATATTAAATTATATTTTATATTCTTATTAGTAATAATTTTAAGAGTCTATTACGCTGTACTGTTCTGGCCGCTCTCAGGGGTCGGGTAAAGCGGGTGTGTGGCCGAAGGAAATATATATTATCTTTCAGAAATCTGCCTAAAGTTTAGCCCGATCCTGTCGTGTTAAGCCACACCTAAAATTCCAAACACACGTGCTCTGATTAAGGCTTGCAGAGCTTCAGCATTTGCCATAAAAAAGCAAGCAATTTGTTACAGAACCATATTAATTATATATCATTGTAATCACCAAAACGCTATATGCGATTGAAACCTGTGTGCAACTGCTGGTAGAACAGCAATACACCGGGAAAACAATAAGCATATTTTCGGATAGTCAAGCCGCGTTGAAAGCACTTGAGGCAACGAAAAGTACGTCCAGGACGATTCTTCATTGTAAGAAACTACTCAATACATTAGGAGATGGAAAACAAAGTGTCGCTAATATGGATACCGGGACATGTCGGCCTAGAGGGAAATGAACGTGCTGATTCCCTCGCCAAAACTGGTGCAGGCTCGCCATTCGTGGGCCCAGAACCGACACTCAGCGTACCAAAAAATCTCGCAAGAGACAGGCTCTGTGAATGGGTTAGGGGTGTAACGCTTCGGGACTGGTATGACAGTCCCGGAATGGAACATGCCAAAACAATCCTAGCAGGGCCATCCAAACGTAGAACAGATGAACTCCTAAAGGCTGGTAGGAACGGAGCGCGTACGCTTACTGCAGTATACACGGGCCACTGCCGGCTGAGATCACACCTACAGAGGATGGGACTGGTGGAAGACGCCGAATGCCGACTCTGTATGGAAGATGACGAAACAATGTACCAGGTTTGAGGTGTTTGGCAAAGTGAAATGGACTCCTAAGAATTTTACGCAAAAATTCAATCTTTTATGACGCTTTAATAATAAAGTTCAGATTTCAGAGATGATTTTATGAGACTCCACGTTTTCCATCCGTTTTTATTTTGACCATCCTACCAAATTCAAGGAGGTAACAACCGCAAAACAAAAATGAATAGTTTTTCATCTGCCTTTGATTAGTTTTTTTCCTAACTACGGTCGAACCTATCGATTTCCTTTCGGTATTCTACCGAAATTGTTCGTGCGTAGAGATCGGTCTTTTTACCTGGCCATCTCGTGCGTCAATCAAAAAAACACCGTTATTATCGAATTCCATGACCGAATACAACGACACCACAAACTAGTATTTTTAGCGGAAAATTAAAAATATTTTCCTGGCACACGAGAATAAACATTGAGCCACTCGACGCAGGAATTTTCCGCTTTAGTCGGTATTTCATAACCGGTAACAAAAAAAAACGGCGTCGTAGTAGCCTTTTAAATGAGAACCGATGGTAATTTCTGGCGGGACGGCACCTATCCAATTAATAATTAAATGGAAAAAATAATTCCGTGGTCTGTATTTTAATGCATACATATTGTAATCGCAAAACATTTTCCAATGCACGTCATCAATCATATCGACATTGACATTAAAGTCTATAAACCTGACTAAATAAAATTTTGTCAAAAATGTTTATTTATTTTTTTTATTATCGCTATGTTGGTCTCACTGCGCCGTGTTCAGCAATGTTGCCCTCTATTATTTCACAATTATCCTAGTGTCAGTCATTATTTTGTATAATATCGTGTTGTTGAATCTTTGTGAGTAATTCTCGTTTTTTTTTGCCTATTTTCATAGTCTTATCACAGGTCTTATCTTAGAAATGGCACTCTTAAGCACAAACAGTTCTTTTAAGAATTTTTGTATTGCTATTCTTGAAATTTGTGTGTTGAAAATATGCCGAAGCATTTAAACAGTCGAAGAAAATAGCTTGTAGCTTCCCTGTATTTTTAAAACTATTTTGAACGAGAACGTGACAATAAAGGTCCTTTATTACCCTTGACTAGACGACACTAAAACTCACAATACCCTAGACAAGGAAAGAGAGTCTCTCTTTCCTTCTCTAAGGACAAAATACTCGGAAGCTGAACCGCGCAACCGCGGTTTATGTCAAACTCAGCTGAATTTTAGAATGGACTTTGTAAACAACAAACAACGGCACTTTTATAAATATCAGAGTAAATATGGCCCTATTTAAAAACAAAGTTAAAAATTCATCAGCATTCCTGTATTTTTAAATAATACAAAAAATATTAAAAGCACTTTAAAGAAGATTTACAATTTGTGAATGTGTTTTGGGGACCCAGCGATACGTAGAACTTTGATAATTAATATTACAGACGGGATTATTTTTAATTTGTGTTGTTTCACTTAATCTTGTGAAAAACACTATAATAAGAAGAAACGTATTATTTGCCCTCTGTTTACTCTAAATATGGTAGTCTGTATAGTTTCTGAAAGTTGCAGTATATTGCAACAACATTTGAACGTAAACACCATGAAGTAAAATTGGGAATGGAAACGCATAACTTTGCCTATGATTTTGCTACAAAGCCTAGAAAGGAAAGTTATAAACTGTGGTACGAAAAACAGAAGATTAAGATAAATTATTATGCATTCGCCAAGTCAAGAAAATATAATGTCTATGTGGAAAAAAACTTACAATTATTATTGTAATCATAGTAAATCAGCCAGGTAGGTAAAATATAAATGAAAAAATATAAAAAATATAAATGAAAAAAAAGCACTATGCCAAATAGTCTCTTTTTATTTTTAGGATACACGAGAAATTGTTCTAAATGAACAGAGAAGGCCAGTAGTTCAATAAAAATACCATATAATGAGCCATAAAAGGAAAATGGATAAGCAAGAATTATTCCGAACAAAGTGAAAGAGGTTATTGGTTTAAGGCTTTATTTATTTTGTTTTTGGTCTTAGTTAAGTAAATATGTATTGACTGTTGGTTAAGGGTTTTATATTTATTTTGTACTACATACTACCTGTACAATGTGGTATTGTTTATTTTTAAAATTATTGTATTTTAAAGAGTGATGTATTATTATTTGCATTCTCACAAAAATCATTATTTTATTTTAAAATTATTGTACAATGTGGTATTGTTTATTTTTAAAATTATTGTATTTTATTGTTGTAATTATTGTATTTTCTTGACATAGAACACCCATGAGTTTATTGCAGTTTCTTCTTATAGACCATAATCGAAACTCCAACATTCTAATAAAATTAGAACTCTCTCTCTATAAATTTGCTTTTTTATTTCTAATATGTTACAGTAATTAAGCTAACAAATTTTCAAACAAAACGTTTATTTCCCCCATGAAAATGTGATTCAATTCAAGAACTGATATTTTAAAAGACTTCCAACTTGATTCGGAACATAATATTTCTCTGCCCTGTACTGTATTACAAATTTTTCTAACCGGTCTTCATTCATATATAGGACATAATGATAATAACTAGAGTAGAATTCGAGAATAATGAGCTCTCTCCAAGTAAGCTATGGTTCTCACTTATACATCAAATTAGATAGTGATCATGCAATCTGCAAATGAAACAATTTTTAATTTACCTACACCAATAATCAATGCAACTTTGACTAAAATCACTTGATGTAGGCAATATAGGCATATTACCAAATATCAGCCAGATACATTAACCACCTTCCTTCTTTAAAATGAGCAAATAATAACAAATTACATTTCGTAACTTTAATGATATTTGTATGTTTTAAAAATATATGAATGCAGATCAGTTTTTAAATATAGCCGTATTTCTAAAAATAGTCTAAAAACTATAAAAAACAAAATGAACAACCATTATTATTCATTATGTTCAAAATTCCCGCAAAGCGCTTTTCGCCGAACAAAACCGAACTCTCCGTGTAGGATCCGAATGCTTCCGAGGTTTTGGTGAGTTTTAGTGTCGTCTACCCTTGACTGCAGATAGAAAAGTAAGTTTGATTAATAAGCACATTACACCAGTTTCAAAGTTATTTCTACGTTAGTTTTTATTAATTTAATTTCTGTGATTATTAGTTTGTCCATTAATAGCACCCTCTTACTGGTTATTACCACTTATGGCGTTGTAAGATGTACATCAATAAATAAATAACCAATAATAACGCTTATAACAATCTTTATAATGGACTAGTTTTTGCCAATATGTAATAAGTAAAATAAGCTATAAAACAAATCAATTAATCACTAAAATATTAGTTATTAAATTAAAAATAAAACGTAAAACTCTTTAAAAAATGATATAATAAATATATTATTTGTCAATTTTAAATTAAGATTAATCTAATAAATCCATCACAATCTGGCACCGCTGTCGCCATCGCTTGTCACTCAAAGTTGATCACGTGCATCGGAAATTGTTTTGCGATTACCATGGACAGAGATAAATAATAATACACGACCAGTTGCCAGATAGAGAGACAAACTAAAAAGCGGTATACAGTGTTGCCGGTTCGAACGTGATATAACAATAAACGAAGGTATAATATATCTAAGTTTTTTATTTAACAATGCTCAATTCGGTTAGACAGATTGAAATAATACGATTTTTCCCATCACTATTTCAAAGATTACTGTGACGCCGTTTTTTTCGATTGCACGGTATTTGTGTAACAATTAGTAATAAATATTTACTATTAGAGTTGTGTGAGAGTGAAGGCCTTCAACTTAATGCTAAATGTTATAAAGTTATAAGTAACGGTTTGTAATGAAAAACATGATTTTTCTTTTAACTATTCCATTAACGACAGAATAATAATGTGTAGCAATTATATTTAAGATTTAGAAGTTGATATTTGCAATAATTTTTTATATATTAAAATAAAAAAAATTGCTTATATAAGAATAAACGTATATACAGGGTGAGTTTTAAATAAGTGCAAATATTTTCAGAGTCGGTAGATCTAGATAAAAGAAACTCTTAATATTTTCTCTTACCGTTTATCGTTTTTTTCGGAAAACGTTTAAATTTACAGTTAAAAATCATAATACATTGTTAATATGGCAACATAGGTAGTAGATCAAATTTAGAGGAATGAAAATATAGAAAAAAAAAATTTAAAAAATTCTATATTTTTTTTTATTTTCAAAGTAAAATAACTCAATTTTGGGCTCATTTGAAAAACGACAATGGGCAAATATGTTTCTTTTATCGAGATCTACCAGCCTTGTAAAAATATGTGTACTTATTTAAGACTGGCCCTTGCAAATATCCACTTACTTGCAAATGTCCCAAAAGTGACTCAACAGACGGAGATACGAACACGATCTTGCCATCGGGACTCAGGATCATCATAAATCCTTTCAGGTCTTCGCCAACCAGCTGTTCCATGATGAACTGGTCCACTTGACAAGGAAAGTCCATCCGCACTCCCTTCGATTTAGCCAATACTATTAATAACAACAACTATAAACAATGTCTACATCAGGCTTCAACTGTTATAAATCTTGTTTTTTTCCATAGCAACTGTTAAAATTGCCTTATATCTATCAAAAATAGTAGATAAAATATAGTCTATAAAATGAATAACTTTGAATTTTGACCGTTATTTTTTACCAACATGGCAAATATAAAATCCCTCTATCAAAAAAGTTACTGATATTCTTTAAATTGAGTGCCTGAACGAATCAGATAGGTAACTCTTTTTACTTTCGTGAAATAGAAAAGGAAAAGAATAAAACAAGTGACAGTTCTTCCTCTTCTTGCAAAAATCAACACAAAATGTCATAATTCTAAAGGTAAAATGTCATCAGCTTTTGACATTTCTAAATATCAGACCAATGCCGTCTCTAATAGAACAGCCTCGGAGCGAGATTTATGACGTCACGCTAGTTAGATACTACGGATTAATAAATATGTTGTAGAATACATGGAAAACATAATTATTCCTCGTATTTTTGGTTTGTATTATTAAAATGATATAGTTTACATGAAATATACGTAATATACAGTTAATAAATACAATATATATACCTATTTATAGTAATAAATACTTTGGCAAATAAACTATGAACCACACAAATGCAGCAAATGTTTTACAATGTACAAATAATGAATAGGTACATAAGATAATGGGTAAAATGTAAAATATATTTTAAATTTTGGGGTTGTCGATCTAATCTAACAAAAAACATTCAATATCTACTAATAGTGATGTATTATTATTTGCATTCACAAAATTTATATGTATATTTTGCAAGTATCAATGTTCGAAAAATTATATTTGCAAATAATACAATATCATAGAAAAAAAGGCGTCAGTGATGGCCATGAAATAAAGATCGCTGTTATTTTATATGTAAAATTATTCAAAAATTTTTGATTTTCTTAGGATAAATTTTGTGAATGCAAATAATAATACATCACTATTTGTAGATATTGAATGTTTTTTGTTAAATTAGATCGATTTTCAAACCCCAAAATTTTAAATATATTTTACATTTTACCCCTTATCTTATGTACCTATTCATTATTTGTAGGCATACCTATTCATTATTATAAATAGGTATACAGGGTGTTTCAAAACAAATGCGAAAAACTTCAGGGGGTGATTCCTTGTTCCAAATAAAGGGTAGTTTGCTTCATAAACGTTGGGTTAAAAGTCAACCATTAGGGAGATATCGCGGTACAAAGATGGCGGAAAAATAATGTTCTTATTTTTTATCTTGAAAACGAAAAGAGATAGACTAATGAAATTTTATGGAAGCATTACTGTTATGAAAACACACTTTCTGGTAATTTTTTTCACTTTTTTAAAATGAGTGAAGGGGGTTGAAATAAACTACCCCTATCATTCTTGTTAACGAAATTTAAAGAAAAATCTTATCAAACACATGTAAAAAAATTAATTTGGATAGTTTAGTTTGTTTAGAAACTTTTTTATCTCCTGTATTTTTTTATAAAACTCACCGATTTGAAATTAAAAAATAAAATGTAAAGCATTACATGTCAGGACTAAAAATATTTTTAGATTAAGAATCTAGTGATAATAATGATAATAATAATAATCTAGATAATAACGTATTGCAGTAGGGTAATGTCAAATAAAACAATATTAGAAACATCCTAAAAGTGACAGCGGCCGACTAGATTTTTCCTAAAAAATTATAGCTGCCCACTAGATTCTTTATCTAAAAATGTTTTTGTCCTGACATGTAATGCTTTACATTTTATTTTTAATTTCAAATCGGTGAGTTTTATCAAAAAACACAAGAGATAAAAAAGTTTCTAAATAAACTAAACTATCAAAATTAATTTTTTTTTTTGCATGTGTTTGATAAGATTTTTCTTTAAATTTCATTAACAAGAATGATAGGGAAGTTTATTTCAACCCCTTCCACTCATTTTAAAAAAGTGAAAAAATTACCAGAAAGTGCGTTTTCATAACAGTAATGCTTCCGTAAAATTTCATTAGTCTATCTCTTTTCGTTTTCAAGATAAAAAATAAAAACATTAATTTTCCGCCATCTTTGTACCGCGATATCTCCCTAATGGTTGACTTTTGACCCAACGTTTATAAAGCAAACTACCCTTTATTTTGAACAAGGAATCACCCCCTGAAGTTTTTCGCATTTGTTTTGAAACACCCTGTATATATATATATTGTATTTATTAACTGTATATTATGTATATTTCATGTAAACTATATCATTTTTAAAAAACAAACCAAAAATACGAGGAATAATTATGTTTTCCATGTATTCTACAACATATTTATTAATCCGTAGTATCTAACTAGCGTGACGTCATAAATCTCGCTCCGAGGCTGTTCTATTAGAGACGGCATTGCGTCAGCATGGCCGCAAGTTGCTAACCTAATAAAATTAACACTAGAAAAGCCCGCGGGAACTGTCAAATTCAAAGTTATTCGTTTCACAGACTATAATACTTTAACCGGAAGGGTAGATTAAATGATACTTTAACAGCGAGGATAGGTTAAAAACTTTATTTCTTCTGGCACGTTTTTTAATTGCTTCCATTTTTGAAAAAAATTGCGTTCCTTTTCATAAGATATTCGGGATTTAAATGGAAGTAGTTTGGATATGGCGTTTGTCGCCTCAGCCTGAATATCTGTTGGTAATTTACTTTTTTCGTTTTGAGCCATTTCTGGCTCCAATTCAATCAGCAATCGACGCGAAAGAGAATTAAAACATATTGACTCAAAACTGACAACTAAAGAGACAGCTTTATTTATTTGTCAAATTACATAGAAACAAAACGCCATAAATATTGTGCTGGGTACAATATTTTTTCTACTCGTAATAAATTCCTTGAAATAATAATTTCTGAATATTTTTAAAACGTAACTCCCTATGGAAAAAAATATTGTTTTATACACGACGATAAAATTGCATTATCGTCTCCCGAGTATCGATGTATCTTTTTGGTAGACGATAAAATACCATTTTATCGTCTTGTATAAAAATAACTATTAATTGCGATTTTTGAAAATTTACTCTTTATTTATTAAAAGAGGAACAGATGAATTTCTGATAGTTATTATCAAGGTGTGATCAAAAAGATTGAAGAAGTGATTCAAAAAGAAATGGTGAACAGAGTTAGCAGTATTAGTCAGAGTTATGGTCTTAAAATAAATATAAACAAAACAAAATTTATGATTATCAGCAAACAAAATATTGAAAATATCAGGATACAAGTGGAAGATCAAAATATAGAAAGGGTAAGAAGATTTAAGTACTTGGGTGAATGATAAATGGGATCCTGATGAAGAAATCAAACATAGAATTGAAATAGCCAGAAACACTTTTTTCAAAATGAAAACTCTACTCTGCAACCGAGACCTGAATCTGACTACTCGATGGCGAGCTACCAAATGCTATGTACTCTCTACATTGTTATACGGAGTCGAAGGATGGACGTTGAAGGCACGGACCATGTCACGCTTGGATTCATTTGAGATGTGGTTATACCGACGAATGTTGAAAATATCCTGGACCGAACGAATAACAAATCTCGAAGTATTAGAAAGAATGTGTAAGGACCAAGAACTATTGACTACAATAAAACGATGGAAAGCAGCATATTTTGGTCATATTTTTCGAAATAACAAATATAGTTTCCTACAGCTGATCGTTGAGGGAAAGATTGAAGGATGACGAGGCATCGGGCGTAAACGGTTTTCCTGGTTGGGGAATTTGCGCCAGTGGTTTAATATGCCAGTGCAATTATCCGTTTGGCTCAAGAATTCCAATTGATAGTCGCCAACCTCCGATGAGGAGAAGGCACATGAAGACGAAGAAGATTATCAAGCTTAAACTAGAGTGGAGTGGTTGTTTGTTTCTGTATTCAATCGTTGAATAAAGAAATAAGAAGATGCGCAACCTTATGGGCGATTTCGTGGCACAAAACCTGTCAAGACTGTCCGTGAATTCCGAGATTTGGATTAGCTCTGCGCCGCTGCGCCCTGATAGTCGTTTACAGCGCAGCGGATAAAGAATACTGTATCTCACTTCTGCTTTCAGTCGACAGAGTGAGTGGTTGCCAGAGACAGTGTTGCCAGAACTACTGATTAATCCGTAGACCAACGGATTTTGGGTACAGTACGTTAATAAAACGGATTTCCTATCATTAAACGATTTAATATAATATTATATGATTAAACAAAGAACGGTGTCACAGTTGGCTTGGGAATAAAGATCGCTGTTATTTCGTATGTTAAATATTATGGTAAATGTCAATACCCCGTCATTTCCAAGGAAACTAAATGACTTTTTTCGATCATACGACATATTCAGTACCTATAACAGGGTGTCCCAGAAATAAGTGCAGATATTTTAACTGGTAGTATAGTTCAACCCCAGAAACACGCCTATGAGGTTTTTTTTGCGAAAAAAAAATGTTGAAAATTTAAAATTTTTCTTGGCATTTTCCGGGAAATTTGAAAAAACTTTTTAGTGCCACTTGTTTATTCACCTGAGATTTCTCTACGGTGTATCTAAACCATGCAGTGTTGTAACCTCCTATGTTATCCACATTCTACATAGTTCTACATTTATAAATTCATAGAAAAATTTCTACTCAAAAATTAAGAATGTTAAATTTTCATCAGTGCTCATTATTAATAATTATTATAGAAAAAAACATTAATTATTATTTTTAGTACTTACTTACCCTTTCAATGAAAACTTAACAAAAACCACCGAAAATTAACTAAAACATTACGTTTATGACGTTTACGAAAATGATTCATCATATTATTCACAACCAGGTCACAAAAAGAAAATTCTAAAATGTTTCTCGTAATTTAGAATTCAATATTTGTTTTCTTTCATGTTTCTCTGTTTTATTTGAACCACTGATTTACAAAACACCTTGAAAAGCGCACATTACTTTGAATACCGTCTCTTATCGCCACTTTACGAACTACTTTCAATCTAAGACATGTTTCACTCACAATTTTAAATACGTATTTTGTTTTTTTCGCTATTTTTGCGATGTATTTTGACAGCCCAAACGTCGCGCGTCGGCCAAGAGTGCCACGTGTGAACTGGTCCTTTGAGCCGCGCCGTCGTGGCAGGCTTGCGTCAGACGACGATGTTAAGCAACGTTGCCGTAGTTACAACAATTTCAAATTCAAGACATTCGAAGCAATCAAATTCGTATTAAATTTTAAAAATAAAACAGAGAAACATGAAAGGAAACAAACAAAACAAAAATGAATTGATTATTCGTTGGGTTGTTTTCGATATATTGAATTCTGAATTACGATAAACATTTTAGAAATTTCTTTTTTGTGACCTTATCAATAATCAATTCATTTGTGTTTTGTTTGTTTCCTTTCATGTTTTTCTGTTTTATTTTTAAAATTTAATAAGAATTTGATTGCTTCGAGTGTCTTGAATTTGAAATTGTTGAAACTACGGCAACCTCGCATGACGCAAGCTCGACACGCCGGCGCGACAAAGAAGCAGTGAGCAGTTACCAACCAGTGATCAGTGATGCGTGGCTGTCTTGGCCGACGGTTGGGCTGTTGACGGAATTGTCGAAATACATAAAAAAAATAGCGAAAAAGCAAAATACGTATTTAAAATTGTTGAGTGAAACATGTATTTTCTTAGATTGAAAGTAGTTCGTAAAGTGGCGGTAAGAGACAATAATTCTCAACATTTATTCATTCAGAAAGATATTCAAAGTAATGTGTAATGTGTGTTTTCCAATGTGTTTTGTAAATCAGTGGTTCAAATTGTGATGAAGCCTATATGAAAATAATGTGTTAAGTTAAAAATGGGGACTGTTATTTTAGCAGTTTTTATAATAGCACGTACAAGTAAAGCAGCACAATGAAGTGTATTTTAGTTAAGTGTGTATCGAAAAAGAGAACTGTCGCAGTTAATCGATCTGTCATAAGTATCTTTTTTAATGTTGGGTAAGTTTTTTAATTTAACTTTTAAACATTTAACTTTTAATTTATTTTATGTAATAATATCACAATTTTAAAAATGTAATGCATCTCTGCAAACTCCTCAGGTGTTGTGATTTTATGACTTACTTGTAAACATATACTTTCTTGTCCATATGGCAACACAGTGCGTCGAATTAACTGAAATCCGGGCTTGATCCGGGTAATTGGATTTAGTTGGCAATATCTGCCGGCGGTTCTCAAAATGTTGCGATTATTTTTTTAAATTTACAAAGTTAAATAACTCAGTTATTTTCAATTTATTTTAAAAATGGTAAAGAGAAAATATGTTTATTTTGACCAGATCTACCACCTCTTAAAATATCTGCACTCATTTCTGGGACACCCTGTATAAAAAAATATTTTTGTTGTTTATTCTATGTTTAACGCGAATCAATTTTCAACACATAAACGCGGATTTTGTCATCCAAAGATATTTTCGTCAAACGTATTACAGATATTTCAGATTTTAATATGGCAACACTGTCGCTTTAAGATCCATACGGTCTTCTATATGCCTGCATTGGCCGAATTAGAGAAAATAAGTGTTTTATGCGTTGACCGCAGAACGATTGGTGTCACCACTGAACAGCACTTGAGAAGTAAGGGGAAATCAAACCAGCCTTGTCACGAATTCGCTCATAGGTTGCATAACTTCCCAATTCTTTCAAAAAACTGTATTATGTTGAAAAATGCGGGTTTATTAAGAAAAAACCGCAATACTTACAGTGACATAATCGCAAGTAGGCTGCTGACAGTCTTAAGGTACTAATTTTGTCCATTTTTTTGGCGCTGGTGGACACCAACGGTACCAGGTGGTGTAGTTCGCCGATGAACGAATTGATGCGATCTCTTCGTTGCTTCTCGGCCCTGTTGCGCATCTCTCTGCTATTACTGTAACAAAAGAAAGTATATTTTTATACCAGTTATCAATGCGACTTAGTTACGCACTAATAAAAAAAAAAGAATATAGAAGAATAAGAATAGAATAATAAAATAAGAATAACTAGAATATACGTAATAATGACAGTTAAATAATGTAAAATACATACAAATTGTAATATATAGTCTGTCCAACGAGAAGATCCTTGACAGTGATATATGTGTCTGTCATTTTAATTTCAAAGTAGTTTATTTTATTTTACAAAGAAATAAGTTGGTACAACTGGAACGCATAGCAGGATATATTTAAAATTTGATTGACAAGATGACAAGTGATTACTTCAAAATATTGTGAAAAAAACTGCATAAAACTGAAAAAATGTAATCGAGTTATTTTATTTAATAAAAACGGTATGTGTTAATACAAAACAAACAAGAACAAGACACTACATACCAAAAAAATATAAAAAAGAACTATTATTTACTTTCAAGCTTTATGAAACTACCCGCATTTATGATTATGTTTATCAATATAACTTATGTACAAATACAAATTTGTAATATTCCACAGGAATAAACAAAACAACATAGGTAAATAAAACACACTATTTTATTAATAATAACACCTACCAAATTTTATACTTTAAAGGTTTTAACTTTAATCTTAATTTTTTTAAACGAGTACCTTTTGACATTATTTTTCTGCAGTACTAAAATCCATTATTTACCTATCGTGTGATGTCGATATTTTACAGCTACTCCAGTTTTTAGTATGTGTTTAGTTTGATCCTTCTATCATATACGAGATGCACTTATCTACGACGAAATGGTATACAAACTTTATCGATGGCAACTTCATTGGTGTATAAGACTTTCTGCCTGGGCAGCGAGTATTAACCATAAACTGTGCTCTGGGTCTACAGTTAATTTTCACTCAATTTTTCCTCCACTTGACTTCAAAAGACACAAAACACACGTAATAATACGAATCAAAATGCATCATCTTCAAAAACGCAGGGTATTTAACAAAAAGTTGACACAAAATTATAACCTATAATTTGGCAAGACTTTGACAAGCGTCAAAAATGACAAAAATCTAAAGGCGAGTTCATACGCATCGGCGTCCGTTTATCGTTCATCGTTCCGTCAAACCAATAAAATTGAAATATGATCTGTCATTTTTTAAATAAACCAATAAAACTGGTTAAAAACAACAAGACACGACGCATGACGGATTTATATTTAAACCCATCCATAGATAACTTAAAAATTATTAGAAACTTTTTTTAGTAAAATAAATAGATTGGTATGGGACGTCATCTGCTTTTCTTCTGTCATCGTCTGTCGAAATCTTACCTGAGAAAAAAAACAAAGTATACATACAATTGATCAGTAAAAAAACAGTACTGACCAATGTTCTGTTTTGTTTCGATACCTACAGAGTGGTTTATCTTTTTCAATCATCATCAATCAGCATTCCAAAAGTACCAAATGTCACAATCTATACCGAGTGGATTTTTCTAACATTTTTATAACTATTTTTTGCTTTCCGTGCTTGTTCATTTACACCTTGTAATTTTTTTAAGAATATATTTATAATTACTCTAGTCAATTAACTAATAATCATGAAAGTGCGCGTCAAAAATGTCAATTATTGTTACTTTTTGTAACAGTATTTTTTTTCTCTCAATAATTAATATTAAGCAATTAAATGCTACTTATATATTTTATACTAGCGTGTACCAGCGATTTCGTTCGCGTCGAATTAATCATTTGTAATGGTGATGATAAAGCAAAGCAAGAATTTCCATTAACATACAAACTGGATAAAATTTTCTCACATTTACGTCAGCAAAACAATATGGCGATATTCTTATATAACTTGGTAATATTTGAGGGGTAGTTTCATCTCGTTGGAATTTGACTTTCGAAAAATCCGTTTGCCAAAAATAAGCTTTTTACGTCAAGCAGTTTAAGCAGAATCGTGGTTAAGAAAGAACTTTTTGGAACACCCTGTATGATTTTTTAAAAAATTTCAAAATATGTAAAAAAACAAATAAATTATGCTTGTCCAAGCGTTTTCCCGAAAGACTAACCGTTTTTTAAATAACAAATATTGTCATATTTTATGAAACACCCTGTATAAATTTATAAAAAAATCTTAAAATATGTAAAACAACAAAATAAAATATACGTGTTTAAGAGTTTTTCGAAAAACTCACCGGTTTTTAAATAAAAAATATTTTAATATTTGACGGATAGTTTCAACCCCTTAGAATTCGAGTTTCGAAAAATCCCTTCTTATCGAACCTCTACACCCTAAAGTCAATCTGTTTTCCAAAAATCAGCTTTTTACGTCAAGCGCTTTAAGCAGGATCGTGATTAATCAATGACCAGATTTTTCGAAACACCCTGTATACATTTTTAAAAATCTTAAAATATGTAAAAAAGCAAAATAAAATATACGTGTTTAAGCGTTTTTCGGAAACTTGACCGTTTTTTAAATAAAAAATATTGTAATATTTGAGGGGTGGTTTCACCCTCTTGAAACTGGAATTTCGAAAAATCCCTTCTTATCGAACCTCTACACCCTAGAATCAACCTGTATGCCAAAATTGAGCTTCTTACGTTGAGTGGTTTGAGCAGGATCGTGATTAATCAGTATGTCAGTCACTTAAGGATTTTATATATTAGTATAGATAACAATTTAATACTGTATTAAATATAATTTATGTTAACCATTCTCGATAAAAATTAAATATTAATATTATTCAACCCATGTGTAAGTTTAAGTTTAGATTCTAAACAGAGATTTACTAAAAATAGTCTAAATTTAGATTAAATAAATAAAGAAATCATAAAAATAGTCCTAAATCCATACTAATAATAATTTTTTTATTAATTATTTTTCCCATTTGAAAATTTTCTCTATTTCTAGTGTATTAGATAGGTACCATATGATCGAAAAAAAAACGGCGTCAAGACGGCTAGGGAATGGCTAACCTTCCTATAACTGATGTTAATTTGAGACAAGTTTAATGACAGTTATATTGTCAGTCTATGTCCAAGGTCCAAGTCCAAGAATATGATGCCTACAAACATTAATGGCTTTTATGTTAAAGAAGCCACGAAAAAGCCGCATACGCTTCGTTTTACAAATACAGGACCTTAAAATTTTCCAGAAAATTATTAGTTTCTTTTTGAAAATTTGATTAATATTAAAAAAAATCACTGATTACTAAATAACATTAATCAATTACAACGTTATCAATGGTGGTGTGGGCTAATGGTCACTGATATAAATATTTTTAATCAAGTGTTAGAGAGGTCGGTAGGGTCAATTCTCACATCGAACACTATTAATTATATTTCAAAATTCAATTTATATATTTCTGTTGTTATGGAGAGATTATAACATGCATTGAATTCTTTTATTTTGTATCTAATAATATTGAAAATTTCAAAATATATGTAAAAAAACAAACAAAATTATGCGTGTCCAAGCGTTTTCCCGAAAGACTAACCGTTTTTTAAATAACAAATATTGTAATATTTGAGGGGCGTTTTCACCCTCTTGGAATTTGAGATTCGAGAAACCCCTCTTTAACGAACCTCTACACCCCAGTCAATCCGTTTGCCAAAAATCAGCTTTAAACGTCAAGCAGTTTAAGCAGAATCGTGATTACTCAATGGTCATATTTTATGAAACACCCTGTATAATTTTAAAAAATCTTAAAATATGTAAAACAACAAAATAAAATATACGTGTTTAAGAGTTTTTCCGAAAAACTGACTGGTTTTTAAATTAAAAATATTCTAATATTTGATGGGTGATTTCACCCCCTTAGAATTCGAGTTTCGAAAAATCCCTTCTTATCGAACCTCTACACCCTAAAGTCAATCCGCTTTCCAAAAATCAGCTTTTTACATCAAGCGCTTTAACGTGATCGTGATTAATCAATGACCAGATTTTTCGAAACACCCTGTATACATTTTCAAAAAATCTTAAAATATGAAAAAAAACCAAAATACAATATACGTGTTTAAGCGGTTTTTTCGGAAACTTGACTGTTTTTTAAATAAAAAATATTGTAATATTTGAGGGGTGGTTTCACCCCCTTGGAACTGGAATTTCGAAAAATCCCTTCTTATCGAACCTCTACACCCTAGAATCAACGTGTATGCCAAAATTGAGCTTCTTACGTTGAGTGGTTTGAGCAGGATCGTGATTAATCAGTATGTACCCGGACTGTCTTTACAAGAGGTAAAACTTTCTATTATATTAAGTTTTTCCTCTCAAAAATAAAGTTTATCTCTTTTTTAATGTAAGTATAATAATTTTATATTAATAAAAAGATAATATAGGATGAACCGACGACCTTATAGTTCGTTGCAATAGAACCTTGGCTGCATAAAGATTTGTAGAATTCAGCAAAAAGTGCAATAAGTAAAATAAGAAAACCTGTCTAACAAACAGAAATGAATCGAGTGAACTCAGCGTCTACATTATGTTCTCGTTACATTCTAAACCTTTGAATACAAAGATTAAGAAGAGTATAATGCTATCTTATGTATTCCTGTATTAGAGATTGCACTGATAAACCGGAATATAAGTCCGCCATATTAATCTAGGGTTGCTAACTAGCGATGGGAACTATCGAATGAATTAGACTATCGAATAGTTACTGAATGAATGATTTCAACTATCGAATGGTTTTATTCGAATAAAACCATTCATTTATTTGTATACTAAAGCATATGTGACAACCTCGCCGTGCCACTAAATGGTTATCGTTGAGCCACGACTATCGAATGCTTTTGATAAATGAAATTTAGTATTCGTTTGATTTTTGTGTGCGTCAGTGCATTAGTTCTTCCGTATTTTTATAACTTCATCTTATAAATACTGTGCCAATTTTGGGTTTATTAAAATATTTAAAATACTAAAATAGTAGTTTTTTTTTAATTGACGATTATGTGCGTGTGCAGGTGTCAAAATTTTTCCGAAATTT